ACAAATGAGTACTGAATGTCGGCCTCATCTATCTATCTAGGGGAACATACAAGAAAGAATAAATGGAAGCTAAATATGGAATGAGAATTAAAAAGAGAGAAATGTTTACATTCTATGTTTTGGTATATGCATATTTTATTTGTTTAAATATCACTTTCTCTAAGAAGCCCTCTAGACAACAGACTTGTTTTTCCATTTATGTTCTCCTATCATGTCAAACTGTCCCCTTTATCATACTGATTATAAATCTAGTAAGTGTTTGCTTTCCCCTAGAAAATAAGCTTCATTAAGTCAGGAACTCAGTTCATCTTTTCCCCAGCTACATTCATTGGATTTAGGACAGTACCTTGATATAAGCAGGTAATAAATACCTTTTGAATATGCTCATCAACAGAAAGAAAAAGAATAATAGTGTAGTCATGCAATGGAATACCACAATGAGAATGAACAAATTACAACTTTATCCAATAATATATATGAAGCTCCAAACATGTTCTTCAGTAAAAGTAGCTAAACAAAAAAGGATCTATAGTAAAAGATTCCAAGTATATAAAGTTCAACGAGAAAACTTATTTATGTTGTTAGAAGTCCAGATAACATCTACTTTTGAATAGGAAGAGAGTGTAATGATACGAAGGAGTAACAAAGGTAATTTCTGGAATACTGTAATGTTCTATTTCTTGGCCTGGTTGGTAGTTACATGGATATGTATACTCTGCGATAATTCACTGAGCTGAAAACTCACAAACTGTGTACTTTTCAGCATGTTTTATATTTTAATAAAGATATTTTTATATCTACTGAATAAACAGGGGAGTAATAATAGGCATTTTAAAAATAAAAGAAAGACTAATAAAGTTATCTCAACTGGGAACAACTGTTAATGAAGCAATGAAACAACCAGTAAGGGAAAAAAGTTTCATAATACAGAAGTATTAATACTTCATTAAAATCCTAAGGGCACTTTAATAGGTAAAGTCAAAAAATGTACAAAAAAGACATTTTAATGCCTTCCAAAGTAAATGAAAAAAGTTACACTAATCCCATGATTGTAAGTAGGATATCACCCTCCCACACCCACTCCTGTACATACACATACAAGAAACTACTACTTTGAGAATATTATTCTTCTTTTTCCTTTTGGATTTTATTTTTGCTCATTATAGTAGTCTTGCATTGCCTTTCTCTAGATTTTGTTTTTACATGACAGAAACTTCTCTCTTTAAGCCACTATAATTCGGGGATTTTCTGTTAACAGTGAAAACCAGTCCTAACAAATAAAGTCAGCTTAGGAGGAGGACCCAGGTAAGTGTCTTTCCTCATTTATTTTTCCAGATCTGCCTACCGATTAACTCTTTAATATTCTGTGTTTACAAGGCAGACTCCCAGGTGGGAGCCCTGTGATTAAAACAGTAACTGCAACTGACTGGGTTAGTAACACTTCCTACTTCAGAAGCTAAACCTTAGCAAATCCACTCACCCAGCTAGATGCTAAGTTTCATTTCCCAACTTACCTTCTTATCAGTAATAAAGTTAACATTTTCATCACATAGTTTTATTACTGGCAAACATGTATAACATTTTAAAAACTGGTCTGATCATAATGCACACGGAGATCCGTATTTGGAAGTACTTAAATAGGCACAGAGGTGAAAAACTTCTTATAGTCAAAAAGCTAATATAAAATAAACCCAACAAAGATTTTTTTGGAGAATATGACAGGATAAAAGAAATATTTTAAAAAATCTTTCCCTCAATTTATAATAAATTAAGCATTAAAATGAATGAAAGTTTTAAAATATACTATATCTGATTTAGGGAACAAAGGAAGGCAGAAACAATAACCATCTTAGACTCTGTGCTATGTATGTATTTTGTAATTTAATAGTGAATGTTGATAATGATTAGAATCAACTGCCAAACAAACAAACAAAAACCAAGAGAACAATCAAACAGGTAAAATTGCTGTAGAAGGAACCAGAAGTCTGTCAAAAGATCTACAACCAACAAAGGGGCTAGGCTCATATGGTTTTACGAGTGAGTTCTAACTTACTCTTATGGTAGTCAATTCCTATGCAGGCTACACCAAAGAAAAAGAAAAACAGGGAAGTTCAAATAAGCGAAACATCAAACCTGAGGAAGATAGCCCCCAAATTAAAAAAGCAACATTTTTTTAAAATTAATATAGACTACAGAAAGCCCAAACAAATGGCTGGTGAGTTAAATGTAAATAGGGTACATCTGAATTTATAAAATAAACATTTATTAAGAAAAGTGTTTTAAGAAAATATTGCAGAAAATTTGTAATACTTTAGGTTGAAGGAAACTTTTTATAAAGCAATGAAACTCCAGAATCCAGAAAAAGAGAGAAAGATTTGAAAGTACAGTATTTTTTAAACTTCTCTATAGAAAAAGGTACCATAAACTAATTCAAATAGAAATGGCAGACAAGGAAAAAATATAGGGTAACTGTCCATACAGAAGGTAACATATAATAAATGAGAGTACATCTATACCACAGAATACTAAGTGCAAGTAGTGTAGACAATATGGTGGATATAGTGTCTTTAAGAATGCCCACAATATATTTCTGAGTGATGTAAGTTACAAAATTGTATGAATAGTAAAAGTTAAAAAAAATTATACTCTCTCTATGCATGTCTGTAAAAAACCTGACAGGTTTTATGAATGTTAGACATGGTTACAAGAGGGCATCAGCAGAGACTGTCATTAGTTTTATTTAAGACACCTCTGTATTACTGAATGGTCACATTCTGTATATTACTTTTGTTATTTACATGACAAATTTCCTGAAATCATATATTACTAGAACTTTCCAAATGCCAGTCATTTACTTATGTTAAAAATATACATTAATTATAAACAACTGATAACATTCACGTAAGATTACACACATATATATTCCTCAATTACAGATGAATGAAAATGTACACAAATATAAACTTTAGAGATTTTCAGTTGCATCAAAATCAGACGGTAAATCAAAAAGAAAAATAAATGAGATACAGAAAATACATAAAGCACATGATGAAAAGGGCATTCCCAAGGTGACAGTGAAAGATCTCAAGACATTAGTTGTAAACCAGGAATAAAGGAAAACCAATATAGACTGGAGCAGGTCAAAAAGCTCCTTAAAGACTTCCACAGGAAGATAAAACTGACAAAGAACGGAGCAAAAAATTAAGTAAACAAACAAACAAACAAAAAACAAAACAAAAACAAAAAACCCTAAAAACAAAAAACAAAACAAAACAACCCAGGTAATTTCAAGGAAAATGAAAGTTGAGGAAAAAAAGTAATAATGTTTATGACTTAGTTCAACCCTGAGCAGCATACATAGAAATAGCAATATAAGCTGAGAATTCTGATTTAATCAAATGACAAGTTTTTTTTTAAAAAAAGGAAAACACACATATGGACACACATGTGTGCAGATGGAGGGATTAAAAACTGTGTGTCAGTGCATGTATATGGGGCAGGAGAAGAGAGAGGGCTCACTGTTTACATTCCGCGGTAGAGAATTTAACAGGAAATGTATAAACTAAGAATCACTAAAACACAAGCATTCTACTTAAATATACGGAATTAATGCCAAAAGGATTTGATTAAATAATTGAAGGCTGTTCCCACAAATGGCAGGAGGGGTGGAGGGCAGGGGATATGATGTGACTACTGTTGTTTGCAGTATATATATAGTTAGCTGGCTCTTTAAAATATATGCTGGTATTAATGTAATAAAACTAACGTTTCTAGATCAACATAAAGATACCAAATTTGACAAAAAATTACAGTGGTATGAGAGATAACTGTTCCACAAGAAATAGATGAAAACTTTAGAAAACATACATTCAGTGTTTTTTTTAAAGGAAATGCAGATTACCTGGGAATAAAGATAAATTTTTAAACATAAAAGCTGTTTTTTGTATTACCTTCTTCTACCTCTCTCATAGGATCTTACTAGAGTAAAAACTTATCTTGGGGGCAGTTTGCCAGAACTTCTAAAATTTAGCACTTAACGTCCTGTATCCCAGGAAATCCTTCAGTTCTGAGCACATCAGGATGGCTGATCACTCTAATTCTAACCAGTTCAAAAGTGTTTACTGACATGAGGTTGCTTTTCACAAGTCCTTTGTTTTGTATTATACATTAAAAGAAACACTAAAAATAAGCAGCTTCTTAAAGATTGAATTGAATTACGGTAGAGCACAGAAATTGAGGGAAAATTTTAGATTTTTAATGTCAAGAAAGGGAACATGCAGCTTACCCCTCAATAAGGCTTTTTTTTTTTTTTAAACAAACACTAAAGGGGGGAATAAAAACAATGAATATTTTTTGGTTAATAAAGAACATGACAAAACATACATAGTGTTTTCATCTTTCAAATATGTAAAAACAAATAATAGTGTCATCAAAACATTGTTGAGATCTGGTGTCACAGGGAAAAAAGATCTAGACTAACGCATTAGTCTGATGGTCTCATGTCTTGAAATGACTAGGATGTTAAATTTAATCATAGGAAAATCAAGCAAGCAAGAAACCTAACAAATCATTTTAGAAACAACCAAATGAAGAAAGTAATTTGGTATTTAATGATTAGAAAAAAACTTATAGAAAAAATATTCTACTGTTGACTAACAGTATTACCAACAAGGAGAAAATAAACTATTACCAGAAGCAGTTACTCAGTTTCTATTTTTGCTCATCAATACCCTTTATTCACTTCAAATAAAAACATAATTCAAATTCCTGTTAAATCAGAGGTGTAGTAGTAGGATAACTCAGGTAAAATGCTTCATTTTTATTGAATTATCTGAATTAAAAAAAAGAAAATCACTCTTAGATTCATGCATAAAGGAAACTCCTAGAATATTAGGTGGCCATGGCTAAGATAGGAAAAGAGAAAATATACAGGAAACCAAATTTAATTCAAGGAAATAAAACATTTCAAGAACAAATTAAAATGAAAATGTTAATTGTACCTTAAAGAACCCTGCTTCAGGGCCACACCTGTCATATACATTCCTGGATTTACCTATCGCCATGATAATACCTTGCATGTTCGGTGTCATCATCATCTGCCACAAGGGATTTAAAGAACGAATTTTTGAATGGTTATCATAAAAAACAATATAAAAAAAAAAACCAAAGTAACTCCTTTACATGCATGTTAAAAGTCCTTTGTTTTTCACTGTTTATAAATCAAACACTGCAATTTTTTTGTAGCAAATGTGATCCAATATGTACATATCTCTCAAAATCATCCATACAGGGCCACAGCTAGCTCACATGGTGCCTTTGTGCAAACTGCAAAAAGGCACCCTCTTTGAATTAAAAAATTTTAACAAGGCACCCCTTTCTTGACAAACAAATTAGAAAATGTGCTGCTCTCTCAGAGAAACATTTAGAGAAAGCACAATCTTTTTATTACAAAAGGCGCCTCTTCTTTAAGGCTTGGGGAGCTCAGTATTAGCTCAAGTTCAACTCCACTTCTACCTGTGGGCCAGGCACTCCTGCCTGCACAACCATATGGTCTAAACATCTAAGCAGCAGCCCTGCATCCATACGACTTATTTTAAAAGTTACAAGGCACATGCACTGTTAAACTACCACTCCAAGGAATTTAAAAAAAAACACAAAACACAACTCTGCCAACAGCATAAGCACTTGCACAAAAGATAGTGTTAAATGATTAATTACAATTCTACTTTTTTAAATTCAAGAAGGGTCATCCTAAAACAAGCATCAAAATGCTTGATCAATGAGCATTTTTTATTAAAACATTTCTATTAAAAAGATGCCTGTTTCCATAATTTTGAAGTGTCAACCTGGTAACAGATAAACAGAAAAATGTACTGCTATTAAGTACTAAATAGTTCAATATTTCTTTGTTTTCATAAGTTTATTATGTAATATGACATTTTATACAAGGGACTTGAGCACGAAGGATTTTGATATCTGCAGGAAGGAGCATGTTGGGGTGTACTAGAACCAACCCCCTGTGGATACCAAGGGATGACTGTATGCTTAGATGCTTACATTTTAAAATATCTGCAAAATGAAATAACTCAAGACACTATGAAGCTATCACATTAGAGCAATCAAGAGATTGCATCCATTACCTCAGATTTACTGAATCTACTATCCACAGTATTTATTTTGGATTACACACTGACAGTTGCAATATACCTAACATTTTCTGCTTCAGAAAATCCTCTGACCAGTTCCTAAATCAGAAACCTGTTTCTTATTCTCTTTATGGCCCATGCTTTCTTATAGCGGCACAGTAATAGTAATATCTTTATGACATCTGATTTTGGTGAATAACTCATACAATAGCCTAATTATAACCTTGAAGTTAAGTCTGAAAAAATGTTACTTGGAAAAAAACAATTTAATATGCATTCAATTCTCACCCATGCCAGCAAAAACTAACAAATGATAGAATCCAAAGTCTATCTTCTCTGTTGTTACTATTTATTAACATGTTTACTGGCCCTCCCTCAAATATGTCAAAGATCTAAGAGTGTTAAGAAAAAAGTGAAAAGGGGGTAAAAATATAATGGGACTAGCTATTTTCATCTGGGTTCCAAAGAAACCTTTCATGAGAAGTAAAAATGCCCCCATATGGACAGAAAATAAGGAGACGAGAATTAACAGTGGAGTGATAAGAAGAGATAAGATGGAGGTATCCAGTGTGCAAACACTGGTAGGCATTCAGCAACTCAGCAACGCTGATGAATCAATTCAATTCAGTCACTCAGAAGTTGCAGAAGCAAAAAGCCCTAATTATCTATTCACAATCAGGCTGTAGGTTCTTCTGGTAGAAATGGTTGACCAAGAATTAGAATCAAGTAATTCAAGAAAAACAGGAAAGGAAAATAAAAACTTTTAAGTGCTCAAGACTTGTGCTATTTAATTAAAACAAATCTTATAATCTATCAACCCCGGAATAAACTAATCCTATGTCTGCACAAAAGAATTAACTCTAGCAACATAAAATTATTCTTCTGACAAATCTATAAGCTTTCTACTTAAATTTTCATTTGAAATTAAAAGTACTGTTAGCAACTGGTAAGGTAATTTCAGACTGTGGGTGGCAAAGCTGTATGTTATGCAGCAATAGACATAAGTGTGAGGGTGCAGGCATGCCCAAAGTACTTGCATTAAATAGCCAAAAACAAGTGGAAATTGTGCAAAGGGCTATAATAAAGGTACCTCGTCATCATAACCCCCCTCCTTTGACTCAATCATAAATTTCCCTACATGAGGAATCGCCACCTCTACAACTTGCTGGTTAGAAGGTGGTTGGCTTGTGGTATTCTCAGGTTTCTGCAGAAGAAAATCATTAGTATAAACATTAGAAAACAGAACAACGGAAGCCCCCAGTTTAAGTGCATAGACTCTTACGTCTTTTAAAAATACCTTCATTTGTTTAGTATAAAATGAAACCACCTAAAACTGAACTTTAGAAGCAAATGCATTAATCAAGTAATAATACAAGATCTCCAGCTTTTCCGTTACTACTCAAACACTAAGTTTTTATTTTTTCCACAAGCTTCTTGGACTCCAAGTTCTTACAAATAATAAACATTGAAGTTGTATATCCTACTACTGTCTTTGTAGGTGGTTTTATTTATTTTTTAATTCTAGTAACTCCATAAAGTCTTCCTTGATCTCTTCATCAAAATAAGATATGACCTCCTCTGAATCCAGGAGAGTTCACAGGTTTTCTTTCTTAAGAGAGTTACTTTTCTATCCTTTCTAGTAATCAATTGTTTTATACTCTTAATATCCACACTCTGTTGTGCTTAACTCTCTCGGTCACAGCCTGTGAGACCAAGTACTATATATTTACATCATGAGTGTCCAGTGAATTCTTGTTTTTGAAAAAGCTGCTCGAAATTAATATCCATTTTTAACAACTCAATCAGGTTTTCTTTTTTTCATTAACAAATTCTATGAATTTCACTAATCCACACTAATGAAGTGGAAGCCAGTATGAAATCCCGAAAGTCCACTCAAAGACACTAATATGGTTTATTTAAAACACTGTTTAGATTTCACAAGGATCTTACTGTACTAAATAGATTTATAACTAGCATATTCACTATTTACCTACAAACAAATTTCAAAAGTACTTAATGTGCTTGAAGGAAGCTTAAGTAATTTCAAACATTATCATAAATGTTTTCTTAAGCAAAGATGAACTTTAGTTTCCACATAAAATAATAGAAAATGTTGATAAAAACAATTAAAGTGGCTTTATTTTAATTTAAAATAAATGTAAATTTTACCGATGTTTTCTAACTTTTCTGAAGTACATATGCAGAGAACGTTTAATTAAACAATAAAACAAAACTAATGGCCAAGGCTGGCATTGTCTCTTTTAAAAGAAATGTTCTTTTAAAAAAATATATTTTATTTACTTATTATTGTATTATTTAATTATTTTATTTTGGTGGGGGGGGTAATTAGGTCTGTTTATTTTTAGAGGAGGTACGGGGTTATTGAACCCAGGACCTCATGCATGCTAAGCATGTGCTCTACCACTTGGGGCTATATCCTCCCCAATAGAAATGTTATTTTTAATCATAACATTTTTAGAAAAGGTTTCTTTGCTCTATTCAAATCCTCAGTTTTTCAAGAGGAAATAACCAATCTGCATGGTTGTCATTATCATGAGCGATAATATTCAGCTAACCCAACACATGATACATAATTTTTGTTCTATAAATGATAGGTATTATCAATATTATTATACTATTATGTTACTTTAAATTGCTTCTATTTGAATAATTCTAACCCAATATTACTGCCACACTTATCTTACAGAGATAAGCTTGACCTATGACATCTAATTTAGGAGTTCTTAATCTTTCCAGCATTTGAGAGAGTAAAAATTGTCCTAAGTCTCCATTCACAAGTGAAATATAAGCAAGTAAATGAAGAAATTCATATTCACTTTGTGGTGAAAAGTTTCTCACAAGCAAACCAATCCAAAACAATACTATAATGAGAAGAAAAAGATAAATTTAAGGTAAGTAGCAACTGGGAAATGTATTCCTTACAATACTGATCCTTGTAAAACAACATATTTCCTTTGAAAAAAAAATTGCACTTAGGTAAAATAACTGTTTAATAAACATTTTCAGTTACTGTAGACGAGTTTCAATAGCATAATACTGAAAAATTACATGGGTGAAAGTTGAAAAAAGGAAGAAACTTTGGGCACATATAATAATTGTATATACATATATATGTACAAATGTACACACACATAATACGTATTGTATTGTTCATCAAGTGCAGGTATCCTAAAGTACTCTAAACATTTTTCATATAAAGAATTTTAGGGTTCACTGAGGTATAGTACAGGTATATTTGTATTTTCCTATTACTGTCAGGCCCCACGTGAACACCTTAACAAAGGCTAAACTTGAAAGAGATTAAAAATAAGTTCCTCAAGTTAAAAAGTTGCAAAAATAATTAAAATAGAAAGCTTTTTACTAATTGCCTGAAATCCATTAAATATATGACTTTTTAAAAAAGTGGTTCATAAAAGGGTGATTAGAAAGCTATATACCTTCCACTCTTTTGGCCCCCTTTATATGCTCATACTTTTTAACCTAGTAATTCAACCGGTGGGAATCTAAAGAAATAACCAGAAATATAGAAGAAGTTTCATTTTTAGGAGCCATTCATAATAATGCAAAAGTAGAAACAAATATACAATGGGGGGTGAGTAAGTAAAAAAGAATTTAGTCACCTAACGGAGTATTATTCAACCATTTAAATGTTTTTTACAAAGAGCTTATAACATGGAGAAATAATGAAGTGATTTAAAAAAGAAAAGTTAAGATATAAAATTTTATACAAAGTAGTTACTCAACTACAAAAATAAATCTCAAACCTGTATATAAAAATAAGAATGAAAGAAAACACACCAACATATTAACAATGATTAACTTTGGGTAATAGGAATATGCATGAGTCTTTTTTGGAGTCTGCTTTTCTCTATTTTTAAAAATAGTTCATTTAAAATTAGAGACATTTTTCTAAAAAGTAAGGTGTCTAACCTTTGGAGAGTATCTCTCTATGGTTTCTTTGATTCTAAGCTTTCCAGGAATTTTTTTTTAACCTTAAGGCTGGAATTTTATATATGTATATTTGTGAAATGGTTAGGATTTAAGTAACAGAAGGAAACAAACAGCTACTAAGGACCTATGGTACATGCTAGGCACTTAAAAAAAATGATCTTAATTCATCCCCAAATCCCTTCCATCTCATGTTAAAAAAAAAAAAAGAGGTTTAGAAAAATTAGGCAACTTACTTAAATTTGCAGTTAGTAAGAAGTAAAACCAATATTCAGAAACACAGTACTATCTACTCCCCACATCTGAAGACTCTTTGCAGTTTAGTTTCTAAGGCATACCTTCAGTCGAGAAGACCCCGTGATTACCATGATCCTAAGCAACTGACTATGAGACCAGACATTCTGCAGGATTTATACAGATAATGGGGCCAACTGTTGGTGCTACTCCACAAAAGAAACCAAATGGAAAAATATTTATGCTAGTTATCATATTCTCTCAGTGCCAGCTCCTTTC